GTGGGTTGGGTTCAGCTCTTCTTCATGAGTTTTCTTGTTTTCCTTGGGCTCTCCCAGCAACCACTATCACATTTTTAAGGCCATTTTGGCCAAAGCAAGTCAGGAGATCAGTCCTGAATCACTGTGGGTGGGCAGCATCCAAATGTGTGGATGAAAGGAAGGAATGATTTGCAGCATTCTACAAACTACCCAGGGACCTAGGCAGTTGTTTAAATGTAAAATCACCAGAATCATGTTAGCCTATAAGTAAGTAATGGTGCATTACTAATGACATTCATCCTTGTTGGCATTTTCTGTTTTATGTGTGACTAGTTCTTTTGCACTTCATTATTTTCCTTGTTCTCATTGAATGTTTCCAAATGACTGTTTCATTAGGTTGTCAAGTTTGCCTTACGTTCTTCACTTATCTTTTTTCCCTATCACCATGCTGTTATCTTGATCATCAGGCCTTCAGTGCCCTTATCCAGGGAATTTCAGTAAAATAGTAAAGGACACTTGTCGTCAGCTACACATAGGACTGTAGGCAGGGCTTGGATGGCTCTTAGTTCTGGGATGGGAATGGAGGGGTGTGGGTGGTATAGAAGGTGCAGCAGGTCATTCCCTATCAGGGGAGAACTGAACATGAGCTTCCTCCTCCTCTTGATAACATCTCACAAGGGCTCCTGAGTGAGATGAGGACTGTTTCCCTTCCTTTGGCACTTTCTAGGGGTCTGCTGAAGCAGGTTTTTGTGAGACTGTGTTTGACCCTTCCAACTAAAAAGCAATAGAATTGCTATTGAAGAGGATTATATGTGGAAGGAAATAAAGGGATAATCCCATTGGTTTTGTGGATGTGTTTATTGTTAGTACTTACTGCTGTATTAGGATTAGTGACCTTTGCTAGGAGCACAATAATTCTAAAACTACTAACGTTTCTATAATGTTGACTGAAGCTCTTATAAGCACTCTACATATGCTCATTTTATCATCACAACAGCCCTGTGATATAAGAACCATTGTTAGACCTATTTTTCTCCCTGAGACAGGGGGTGGGGGGAACTCCTCGTCTCCTTAAACTTGATGAGGACCTTCTTTGTTTGCGTTGCTGATATATGAGTGTTTGAGGGAATGAGGGAAAAAGGGAGGGAAAGATGGGACTTGTTGATCTCCCAGTAGCTTTCTGTGCCAGCTTGCTGCATCAGCACACCCACATCCTCCTTGCTGGGGAAATTGTTTGCCAGCTTATGGCCTTCTGTGTTTGAGGCACGTTCACTGCAGAGCCTACCAAAGGAGAGAGCTGGGGAGAAGATGGAATATGGAGTGACACTTGGGGGCACTTGCAGATTTCTTTGAGGAAGCCGTGTGTGTTCCAGGTTCTGAAGGATGAGACCTGTTGACTAAAAAAGAATTGGTGCTTTAAACAATTAAAATTAGTTTGATTCAGAAGTCTTGCTGAGGCTTGCAACCAGGGAGAATCTTTCAGCTGTTAGAGTGCTCCAAAGTAGTGCTTTAGCCCACAGTTTATGTACAGGTGGTGCACTCTACACATGCGCAGAAGTTATGTTAATTGTGCTCAGAAGTTACATTAGAGCAAAATCTTATCCAGGTTTGGGTGTGAGGGTCCATCTGGTTATAGATTATAGAGGCATAATCATTAATCCTGTCAGATATTATCTTATGTAAAGGAAGAGACAAGGGCTGAGATAATTGAATGTGTCTTTTCTGAAAATGCAGTGATTCAGGTAGGAGATGTGGGAACTGGTGCTGTATCTTGCTTATCATCTTCAGGGCATTCTTCTGAAGGGCTGTGCACCAAGTCTTGGAGTCAGGGGCTTTGTAAAATTCTGCTGGCAAGGGATTTTGTGAAGTTCTGCTGTTATGTAAGCAGGATGAACAAATGTAGTGTCTACATTTGTTATTTTGTCTCATACTTTGCTACTGAACCAGCTACATGAAGATCTGGGAGTGGGGGTAGCATCCTGCAGGGGCCTCAAGTGGGGAATGTGTTTGGGAAGTTTGGGGAATGGAAAGAATCCACAGTGCCTAGAGGATAGGGAGTGAAGGGGAGAGTGGTATGTAGTGACGTTGGTGTTGGGTGGGGGAAATCGGTCAGGGCTTTATCGACCATAGTAAAGAGTTCAGATTTTAAGTACTACTGGAGGCCAGTGGAAGGTTTTGAGTAGCTGAGTAATCTGATTTGATTGACTCCATTAGATATTTGTGTTGGCTGCTATGGGGAATGGAAGAAGAGTGGCAGCAGGGAATCCAGGCAATGGGCAGAGGTCACAGCCTGTGTGAGGGTTCATGGCCACATAGACCAGGCAGGGCCATGGAGAGCAGAAGCAGTCCAGGGCTGGAACAGGTGTTAAAGGCAGGCTAACAGAATGGCATACTGGGGATGGGTAATTAGGAGTGACATCCAGGTGGTGGCTAGAGCAGCAGGGTGGATGGTGGCTCCAGCTTACTGAGACGGGAAAGCCGGAGGGAAGAACGGGATCTGAGGGAGAACTTCCCTTTGGATGCATTTAATTTGAGAGGTCTTTAAGACCCTCATGTGGAGAAATCAGCTGGCAGCAGTCTGTGAGACTAGAACCTGTGGTGGGAGATGTCAGGGCTGCAGATGGAAGTCAGGAGTCCTCAGCAGAGATGAAATTTGTCTTTTGCTAGCCCCAAGGATTTGAGGGGTAAGCCGTGTCTTTCCTGTAGATTTACAAGTTGTAGTCATTATTTTATCCTTGTATGTGTAGACTAATTCATGAATTCTCAATTCATTCAAAAAATATTGAACTAAATATTGTGCTAGATGCATGGGACATGATGATTCATGAGATAGACTGTGGGTTTTGTGAGGGCAGGGAATATGTCTAACAGAAGAGACAGGTCATTCCATCAGAATTAAGTCAGGAATTCAATCAGAATTCCACCAGAATTAAGTAAAGTGTGATGTGTTCTGTGACAGGAAGCATAAAGTGGGGGTCACACAGCAGAGGCGTGGACCTAGTCTTGGGGTAAGGTGGGGATGTTTCAGCTGACTAGTGAGGGTGAGTAGGAGCCAGCTGAGTTATGCCGGCCTCAGGAAGAGGGCTCAGTTAGTGGTAGGTGGGCTAGCAGTTTGCATTAGAGTTGCAGTGTACAGAACTCTTTCTTGGACCTGGCAAATTCTGCACAAGGCACTCAAGGATTCCTCAGCAAGATTTTATAGCTCATAAGAATGTTAATATTCATGTAGGTTGATGATACTAGTTTCTTTTTTTTTTTTCTTTCTTTTCCAATGAAACTACCTTTGCAGATGATACTAGTTTCACTGCTACCTGTTTCACACAGTAAATTTGTTCCTTGCTAGGAATTTTCATAACTCTGTGCCCAGCTTTATTTTGGTGTGGTAAATATAGTGTGAAATTGGCAGCTCATAAGGCTTTATAAACACCTTACATGCATTATTTCAAAGAGCCAGGGCAGATTTTTGCTTGACAAGCTCTTATACTGTCAGAAAAAAACAACTCTTCAGAATCATCTGCGTTACTGCTAACATTATATAATTTGAACGTCATAATGTGTATGTTCACATAGAGTCACAGTGTTAGGACTGCAAAAGCAATTGGTATCACATTGGTGCAGATTGAAGAGCAACATATTTTTTTCTTAGTAATCCTTGCAGAATTATAAGGAAGCTTTTTGTTTGTTTGTTTGTTTGTTGCATTTTGTTCTATTTTTAAGAGATGGGGTCTCACACTGTTGCTCAGGTTGGAGTGTAGTGGCTCAACCATAGCTCACTGTAGACTCAAACTCCTGGGCTGAGGTGATCCCCCTGCCTCAGCCTCCCAAGTAGCTGGGATTATAGGTATGAACTACAATGCCTGGCTCCAGGAAGCTGATACAGGTATTGATCGACTTACCACCTATGCAATTTACGACCATTCCACTTTACGACCACAATCGCTACCCATGACTGCTCTGCGTCTGGCAGCGCAAACGTTGCCCAGCTGGGCGTACGACAGTGCGGACCAGCTTCCGGCAGCGGTACCATCTCCGTGTGCACCATTTCAACTGTACATATAGCCTACTCAACTTATGACCAAATCGTGTTACGACCGGTCCGCAGTCCCGACCGTGGTGGTAAGTCGAGCACTGGCTGTATTACTTATCCTCAGGTGCTAGTGTGTTCTCCCAAGGTGCTAATTTGTTGGTCAGGACTCTGTAGATGGTACAAACAACTTTGTTTGCTGAGGAAAATGTACAAAGGTGTGTTGACGGTGGATGACTGCTTTGACCCCCAGCATTGTGAGGTTTTACCCAGGCTGATCAGGGCCCTTGGAAGAACTGGCTGTGTTGCTACTCAGCCCCAGTGGGAGTTGTCACTGTGCTAAGTTCCCCACAACCCCTGCTTATCTACCAGTAGTTTATGGTTTAGCAAAATTGTCTATTACAACAGGGGCAACTCTAGGAACACATGGTAGGCCCTACAGTCTCCATACATGAGTGGGGGCAGGTCATCTAGAAGCTTGTGGTTGGGGAGCATGTGCTGGTTCATTTGAGCTGATTTCTCTTTTCATTCCCAGAGAGTTATGTTGGTGGAGAGGGAGCAGAGATTGGTCCATTTAGGAGCTCCACCAGCAAAGTTGTTTTTCAGAGGTATAAACCCATCCGTCTTCACAGCCTGTGTCAAAAACTGCCTCCTCCATGAACCTCTACTTCCTCATATCCTAACAGAAAGTCATGTTGTCCCTCCCCATACCTGCCCCCACTTACCTCCAGCATTCTAGCTGGTCTGTCATTGCTGGTCCCTATCAGCATCCACCTCCCTGGATTGGCTTCACAATTTCTTGATTAGGGCTGAGTGGTGGGTGGTACCCAAGGTGCAATTAACTCTCTTAGGCGGAAAATAAATAGGAATACTGCTTTGTTTTGTCTTAGAAGGGAATGAAACTTAGTTGTACTTGCCTTCGTTTTCGTGCAGGTTGTTTCTAAATTCTCATAATTGTATAAAGTGAATTGTCATAAATGGAAATTTTTCTTTTCAGATAATGTGGATGCAAGTGATCTCAAGCAGTTTTTTGAGACCAACTATTCTCAGATATATTTCATCTTCTATGAAAATTTTATAACACTGGAAAATAGTTTGAAATTAAAAGGTAAGCATTTCTGTAGTTTTTTAAATGTTCATGAATTTTTATAGTTGTATATATCATGAGCCACAAATTAAACATTTTAAAGCTTTGATTCTTGCTAAGCCTTTAACAAGGCTGTGAGAGCATGGTGGACGGGGTGGCATCTTTGTTTCCCTTGAGCTTTCCCTTATACAGATGTTAATTGAACAACATATGGCTAGCAAAAATAGCAGAAGGAACCCTTAGAAAACATGAATTTCAAAGGAATAATTTACTTAGAAAGAAAGAAAAGTAATACATGCACATCACTAAAAAATTTTAGATTCCATAAAAGGGTCTGAAATGAAGACTCAAGTGTCTTTTGCTCTGCGTGCAGAGGCAACCACTATTAAAGGTTTCCTGCATCTCCTTCCAGATATAGTGTTAATGTATTATGTTTATATGTGTTTGTCATTGTATTCTTTGAAAATCAGACCAACAGGATCACATTGTAGATTCTGTTCTGTGTCTAGGTGGCAGGATAGTGTAGCCTGAGGAGCCAGACTGGGTTGGGAACCTGGCCCCGCCCTTCTCATTTGCCCAAGCTGTACTTCTTGGGTAAATTAACCTCTCTCTGAGCCGGCTTCCTCCTGTCAGCATTAAACAGGTTCACAGGTATCCTAGCATTTTAGGACAGAGTTTGGTACATAGTCCATGGTCAGTTAGTAGTGGCTGCTGTCACCATCTTCTTTCATTTTCATGTAGTCTATGGGCTGAATCTAACTGAATCCCCATAGCTCTATGAAGTAGCTATCATCCATTCATTGAGAAAAGTAAATCATGTGCATAAATAACTGAAAAAAGTTAGAAAGTCATTTGTGCTGTAAGAGAGATTTAGACAGATTTCCATGGTTCTTGGGAAGTGGGAGAGATGACTTCCTGCTGAGTATATGGATGAGGCTTTGGGGAAGAGGTGGCCTTGGGCATGGACCTTGAAGGACAGCAGGATTTCAAGTGTGAGAGAGCAGCACTGCTGGTGAAGGGGAGAACATGAGTAAAGGTAGAGCTCTTTTTAGGACGTGTACGGGAAATGCATTTCTTTTTCTTGCAGCAAAGGTATGTGAGAGAGATTTGCAAGAAATTAGATAATGCTTTCAAGGTGCCTTCAGTTCTAGGATAAGGAGTTTGGACTTTGTTCTTGAGGTGGTTAGAGCTCTTGAAAGCATTTGCTACTATGACAAGTGTCTTGTAAAGTAGCAAGTGAACCAGAGGCAAGAATACCAATTGGAAGGCTGCTGCTGTCATTCATGTGAGGGATGGTGATGCCTGATCCGGGGAGGCAGTAGTTACGGGAAAAGTGTTGGGTCTCAGTGGTTCTGCCATCTATGAGACTTAGTTATAAGGGAAAGGGAGAAATCAAAGATGCTTTCAGGACACTTGAGTTTGCTTTGTGAGGTGCCATTAGTAATAGGAACCCTGGAGGGGAGCCAGATTTGGAAGCCAGGAGGGGGAAAGTGGCTTTGGGCAGTCTGTGTTTGAGGTTCCTTGGGGACACATTGGTGTAGGTTTTGGCTGGGCAGTACAATAGAGGTGACTGGAGCTTGGGAAAAAAGAGGTGAAATCATGCTGTTGCCAAGGGGTAAAGTATATTAAGAGAAAGACAGTGATGGTCAGAACTTCTAGATAATTCCTTATTTTATTGGGTATATGCAAAGAAAAGTGATGGAGTAGGGGGAGGGGTGCCAGGAAAGAGTTTTGTCAGAGAGGCCCAGGGAAGAGAGAGTTGAAGGCACGCAGGGTCAGCCTGTTGGTGCATGAGGTGCAGCTGGGCTGGGCAGTAAGAACTCATCAGCGTGGTTGTCAGTGAGTGCTGAGAGAAAGATGCTAGGTGAGGAGCTGGTCGGAATCCAGACAGATGGACATGGAGCCACAGGATGGTGAGCTGGTGAAGGTGACCCATGAAAATATCCTTTCAGAAAGTTTGATGTGAAAACACACGTTGTATCTCACTCTGGTCATGGGAAAGTTAGTGAGGAAGGGATTGGCCTGTTTGCAGGCTGAGGAGTGGGTCAGCTGGAGGGGAAGATAATTGAAGATGCAGGTGTTGGGGGAAGTGGGTTGAGACAGGTCAAGGAAAAAGAAGAGACACGGAGAGGAGTGTACAGGTGACCTTTCTATGTAAGGAGGAGCAGATAAGAAGATAGTGTAGATATGGAGACATTTTGAGGTAGAGAGGAAAAACTTAGGGACACCTTGTCAGATGCCCTGATTGCTCCTGTAGAACAGAGGCAGTTGTCAGTCATGGAGCGGGAGAAATTCAGGATGAGGCCCCGTGGTGGTCTTTGATTGTGGCCATTTTTGCAATCTACTGCAAAGAATTGTAATGAAGAACCAATAAAAACAGAGTGAGATTTTTGAAGTTTTTTGCTTTTAGTATAATCTGTGTTTGATTGAAGCACAGGGAAGACAGTGTGCCCCAAAAAAGGAATAAAAGAAAATGTCTACTGGGAATAATAAAATCATCTTGTGATAACTTCAGTCTTTGCAGTTACTCAGGCCAAAACTCCAGAGTTATTGGCTCTATCTTCAAAATACATCCAGAATCACTGGCCTGTTCTCATTGCCTACACTGGTAACACTGAAACTCCTGATATCCTCACCTGGATTATAACAGTAGCCACAGAAATGGTCTCCCATCTCCATACTTGTGACCTCTTCCATCCCATAGTTTCTTGTCAAAAGAGCAACTGGAGTCCTCCTTTAAAAATATGAGTCAAATCATGATTCTTGGTTTTTCTAAACTTTCAAACGGGTTCTCATTCCTAGTCATTACAGTTGGCTCAGGCTTCACCTACTCTGCCTTCCTTCACCTCACCTACTTTCCACCCTCAGCTGTGCTAGCTCTCCCCTTTGTGTGCTCCAGCCTTAAGGGCCTCTGGCTGTTTTCCTACTATGCCAGACATGCTCAGCCACAGGGACTTTGCACTGTCCAGTTGCTCTGCCTGGAGCACACCTCCCCTAAATTTCCATATGGCTTGCTTCCAAACCCCTGCATTTCCATATGGCTTACCCCCTAACCTCAAAGGATCTTTTCTCAGATGTTACCTTACCAGCGAGATGTTCTCTGACTTCCCCAGTCAAAATTACATACCATCTTTTTTGGCTTCACTTACTCGTTTATAGAATGCCTCTCCTGCCAGAATATTAACTTTTTGGGAGCTGTATCCTCAGGCTTAGAATGATCCCTGGCATATAGACATTCTGGTGAATGTCTTTGTTGAGCTGTGGGGGTTCAGTTAGATCAGGGGTATACAGCTTATGCTGCCTGTTTTATAAATTAAGTTTTATTGGACATAGCCATATCCATTTATTTATGTGTTATAAATAATACATAATAGCTTATAGCTGCCTGTTTTATAAATAAAGTTTTATTGGACACAGCCATATCTATTTGTTCATATATTGTCTGTGGCTGATTTTGTACTGTAACTGCAGATTTGAATATTTCTAAGAGAGGCCTGCAAAGCCTAAAATATTAATATCTGATCCTTTATAGAAAAGGTTTGCTGATTTCTGTATTAAATGATGTAGGCCAAGCACTTAGCACAATGCGGGTTACACAGAGAGAAGACAAAAAATGGTAACCTCTGCTGCAGGTGTTGTAAGTTTTATTACTGTTGTTACTATCAATAGGACAGTGTGCAGTTGCCCAAAAAGATATACTGCTTTTATAGTTATCTGCCCTATGACTTATATTACCAAGTTAGAAATTTTTCTTTGTTTGTGCTGTGCATTCTGCCATAATTTAAGGCAATAAGTAACTGGTTGAGAAATGAATAAATTACCCATGTTTGGTAACGACTTGGAAAACATGGAAGCTGTGTTTAAACAGCTAGCGGGGGGCAGCTCCGCCAGGTATGGACCCAAGCATCCTGGCTTGTTTGTCTGTTTGGAATCCTAGTGGGTTCTCCACACTGCCTCTTGCTATTTTTTGAATACATGAATGTATGTTGAGGCTTACTAGTTTTAAGCTGCCTTTTGGCGTAATTTGTAATGTCCTAAAGTTTAAACGATGTCATGGTAACCAGTTCTTTTTTAATATTCCAGGGAATAATAAGTCACAAAGGGAGGAGCTGGACTCCATCCTCTTCCTTTTTGAAGTAAGTTTTGATTAATTCATTTTGCTTTTATAATTCTTATTGGAAATAAAGTATTTTTGATCTTTAATTTTATTTGAATACAAATAAAAAAGCTATTGGTGGACATATATTTCCTTCTTTCCTTCCTTCCTTCCTTCCACCTTCCCACTTTTACAAACAGTGCTGCAAATAATTTTTTTGTGATTTTCTTTTTTTGCAAACATGGGAGAATTTTTCCTGTATGGATACCTAGATGTGAAATTATTAGATGGAAGAGTATGTACATCTGAAATAGCAGATATTGCTGAATTGCTCTCCAAAAGGTCATGTATTCACACTGAGAAACTGCCCTGTAAAAAGTAAAAAAAAAAAACAAAAAATGTTATGTAAACTAATATGTAAGTCTTAGGTTAATTTCCTATACTCTAACATTGGAGATGATTTGTCTTTTATATGTATATACACATATATGATATATATTTCTGACATGCAGAAACTCATTTTTAATATATATTTTTCTACTAGTGAGGTTATGATCTTTTTATGCATCTGTAGATCTGTGTGCGTTGATCATATCTTCAAAGTTGAAACAAAGTTTGGGTGTGGTTTTTGATTTATTAAGCTTAAAGTCTTTCTTGTCTATATGTATTAGATAAGTGGCCAGGTTTCGGGTACCTACCTGGAGAACACACTCAGAACTGAATTATAGGTTCTGAAAGTTCATTGTTGATTTTTAAGAAATTATTTGTGGTTTAAGAGGTGTACGCTTAGGTTGGTGTAAGAAGACAAACTTTTATGGCTGTAAAGGAAAGGCCTATTATGAACAGGTACAGAGCTGGCTGGAGGGGGAAGCCACTGTAGGAAAGATCTCCTACAGTAGGAGAGTTCTCCAGGGGCTTATGGTGAGGGACTTTCTGGGTTTATGGAGAAAAAACAAGACATGGGAAACTTCTAGCCCAGGACTTGTCTTTATGACTAGTGCTCGATAACCCTGGTTCCCTTTTCTCTCCTTTGAGAGCTATACTCCTTTTCCACAGTACAGACATTGATTCACTGCATATTCTGTAGTGATTATTATGTTTTCTGTGGTTACCCTCCTTTGAATGAAACCCGTGTAAATGAGTTGGGTTTTTTTTTGAGACAGAGTTTCGCTCGTTACCCAGGCTGGAGTGCAATGGTGCGATCTCAGCTCACCGCAACCTCTGCCTCCTGGGTTCAGGCAATTCACCTGCCTCAGCCTCCTGAGTAGCTGGGATTACAGGCAAGCACCTCCATGCCCAGCTAATTTTTTGTATTTTTAGTGGCAACGGGGTTTCACCATGTTGACCAGGATGGTCTCGATCTCTTGACCTAGTGATCCACCCGCCTTGGCCTCCCAAAGTGCTGGGATTACAGGCGTGAGCCACCGCGCCTGGCCCCTGAGTTGTTTTTAATAGGAGCTTTAAGTAAGTGTTTTACTTAAATATGAATCTACTGACCATCATTTGTTTGAACTATTTTATTGACTTAATTATTTTATTTATGTAATGGTTAAAGAATCTATAACATGTAAGTTAGGAAGCATGGTAATAAAGCACATACTCTTGACACCCTCCCCCTTCCTCATTTTAGCAACTAAAAGCTGCTTAAGTGCTCCTCCACCATCCTTTCTCACCTCTGTGGCAGTCACTCCCCTGCATTTTATCATTCTCTTTCTTTTAAAAAATGGCTTTACCACATATATTTGTACCCTTAAGTAATTTCTTGTGTAGTTTTGCTTGGCTTTGAGTATAATAGAAATTGTCTCCTATGGTACATAATCACCTTTGACTTGCTTTTAACCTCAACATTAATTCTAAGACTTATCCATGTTTTTAAATTTAGTTCGTTTATTCATTCCCACTGTTGGATTACGTGAATGTATGCAATTTGTTTAATTCCTACATTTTGTCTATAGGCTTTTTGTTTTCTTGGTAGACAGTCAGATTTTCTGTGAGTAAGGAGTGGACGTACTTGCCAGTTGGTCTGCCTTCTGCCCTGACTCAGCCTTCCAGTACATTGGTAAACGGGAGTGATAAAGGGTCATCTTATTTTTGATGTAAAGAGTTTTCTTAATGTGAAACATTAAGAGTAATATTTTCTGTAACTTTTTGGTAGATTTTATAATAAATTAAATAGCTTTGTTTCTGTTCCTAGTTTGAGATTTGTTTAAAAAATCATACATGGGTTTTGAAATTTCTAAATTTTTTTTTCTTGAAAAAACTTGATTGAGGTGACAGTGATTCTTCTTGATATTAATATGGTGAATTGCAGTTCTAGATTTTTGGATGGACTTACTATTATTGTTATTATTTGAGTCAGGGTCTTGCTGTATTGCCCAGCCTGAAGTTCAGTGGTGTGAACATAGCTCACTGCAGCCTTGACCTCTTGGGCTCAAGTGATCCTCCGGCCTCAGCTTCCTGAGTAGCTGGAATTACGTGTTTGCATCACTATGCCCAGCTAATTTTTTTTTTTTTTAATTTGTTGTAGAGATAGGTTCTCTCTATGTTGCCCAGGCTGGTCCCAAACTACTAGGCTCCTGGTTTCTCCCAGAAGATTGGTCTTTGCTTTTGCCAGGAGTCTGGGAATGCTCTTGATTGAGATCACTTTAGCTCCATTGAGGGTTCTGGTTTATTAATGGAAGTTTGGGTTCAGTTCCCTAAACTTACCATGGATGAGGACTAGGGGCTAGTATTGGCATCAGCTCCTTGACACTCTGCAGATTTTTCTTTTGCATGGTGCTCACGGATCACTTTTGGCTCACTTGTCTTCTGCCTCCTTTCCGCTTCCCTCTTTATTTCTCCTTCTTCTACCATTTTTTAGTCCCTTGTTAGTTTCTCTGTGTTCTCCAAAGCCCAGCAATGTTTTAGGAATTACATTTGTTGTCATGGATCTAAGGACTGAGTTGCCCTGCAGCAGGAAAGCCATTCAGAGACCTTAAACCTATCCCTCTCATAGAAGTTTCAATACCTTCCCTTCACGTCCTTAAATTCTAGACTAAGGAGGGTGTTGATACTGATACAGTACCATTTACAGAGGATTAGTTGCCTATATAATAGAATACTATATATATTACTCAAGGCTTCATAAAACTTTCATTTTGCACAGTAAATATGAATGAATAATAAACTTGCATTCCTTTTTATTTATGCTTATGTTCCCTCTGTCTCTGGCTTTAGAAGGTAGATTATAATTTGTATGTTTCATTCTGGGTGCTAAGTAACTTCATTGCTGCTTTGTAGGATAGTGCTGTGTAAAAGTGTGTAAAGAGGTAGTTTATAAGGGTTTGGAAGTGAATATTTATCAATTTGTAAATAATTGGGAAAGGCTCCCTTGAGAAGAGGTGGAATTAATAAGATGTGTTAAATCACAAAAGTGATACCACGTAGAGATATTCTGTAAATAAGAAATGGCTTGGAAGAAAGCATAGAGGTAAGAGATAAGAAGGCATGAAAGAAGAGTATGTGAAGAGAGCTGCTGTCTGCCTTGTAAGTCAGGGATGCACTGAAAGGGAACCTTGGAAAAAGGAAACAGTAATTTTTAGATTATTGGAGACACCACAGTATTCTGATAAAGTAAGTGATGTGCAATGAAGGCCACCAGCCAGTGCAGGTGATGGTCTCAGGCAGTGAGCAGACCTTTTTGCCTGCCTTCCTCTCTAGTGGAAACACTTGTGCCTTTTGGAAGTTGACCTTCCAGCTGCTTTTGCCTATTGCTTTAGATATGTGCACCACTTAGAGTTTCTGTTGTTGGTTCATGGAGATGTTTATCTTTTTTTTTTTTTAAGACAGAGTCTCGCTCTGTTGCCCAGGCTGGAGTGCAGTGGCATGATCTCGGCTCACTGCAACCTCTACCTTCTGGGTTCAAGCAGTTATTCCTGCCTCAGACTTCTGAGTAGCTGGGACTACAGGCATCTGCCATCATGCCTGGCTAATTTTTGCATTTTTCAGTAGAGACAGGGTTTTGCTGTAGAGACGGGGTTTCACCACATTAGTCAGGATAGTCTTGATTTCCTGACCTCCTGATCCGCCTGCCTCAGTTTCTCTAAGTGCTGGGATTACCGGTGCCTGCCTTAGCCTAAGTGCTGGGATTACCGGCAGTGCCCAGCCTTGAGAGGTTATTTTAATGGTACCTGAGATTTGTTTTAATCAGGTGTGGTAAGGCACAGAAACATGAAAATGATTGTTATGAAGGAAGATGTTTTAGTTATGCTCACAGTCCTCTAGAAACAGACATGTTACACAAAGCCACATAGGGAAGCACCGAAGCAAAATCAGTAGGCAGAGAGGAAAGAGGGAGAGACAGCCACAGAACTAAGGGCAGGAGCCTTTATTGTGATTTTTGCAGGAAGGAATGGACAAGGCCAGGTAAGCAAGCTACGTAGGTTTAGGACTTTATAGTTTGAATAATTTAAGCTGACTGGGCTGTAGGGGGTGGCCCCTGATTGTACAGTGCCTGGTCCTTGGGTGATTAGGGCAGGGGTGTAGAGCCCATAAAAGGACGTGGTTGGGGTTATGGATCTGGGATTGGTTGGTTTGCTATCAGAAACATGCTCTGAGACGCTATCTTTGGGAATTTGCTAATCCGGGGAGGGGCATCCTTCCTAGGCCACTGAGGCCCCAGATGTCAGCACATCAAGAATACAGAGAATAAGACAATATAATTAATCCAAAGATACTGTTTCAAGCTTTCTGCCATGTTGTGTGCCATCACCTTTTACTAGAGAAATAGTATAGTTTGGAGTTATACATATTGACAGAAGTGGCTTAATTTCAAAACTTAAACATGTTCTGGCATTAGAGTACTACTCATTCAGATGTTCTTCAAATATCACAGAATTTGAAATCACAGATAAACAGATTTCTTATTCTAAATTTTATTTAGATTACCCCACCATCTTAAACCCTGTTTCTGTCTTGTCTTTAACCTTCCTAGAGAACTGACTGGGTTCTTTATAGTCTGTAAAGTATGGGCCAGGCTGGTCTAACACTCACAGTCCTCTC